TTTTTTTTTTTGAAGGGATTTGTCTCCCAGGGATTTCATTTGCTGTGAAAAAAGGGGGCTGTGGTCCCACCCCCCTGTGGGAAGCTCTGGTGGGGGTGTCTGTGTGTCCATGGGATGAGTTATAGGATCCGTGCCCTCTGGAGAAAGCAGATGTGGTGCACATCTGGATGCCTGGAGGTTCAGGGCCCTTTCCCTTGCTCCCTTGGTTGGTCTCAGCTGTTTGGGATGAAGGTGGCTCTGGATCCTGGATCCTGAGGGAGCCATTTCACCCCTCTCTGAGCCTGCTGAACGGGAATGGGAACAGAAATGCCCAGTTTTGCATTTTGGGAATGGCCATGGTGCCCAGGGAAGCGAAGCCCTGGGTTGGTCCTGCCACCTACTGGCTTTTTCCAGACTTGGTGGAGGAGCTCTGAAGTCCAAATCTCCAAAATCAAGGCGGATGAGCTGCCTCAAACCCAATAATTGCACCCAAAGCAGAGAATCGTCATCAGCAGAGACAGATTGAAGGTTTTAATTCATCCAGCTTCGCTCTGATCGTGGAAATTGAGAAATAAAAAGGCTTAAGAGGCTTGCCAAATTTAACATTTTCCATGGGAGCACTTTTTCCCAGCCCTAATCCTCCAGTTCCATCAAATGGAAATACATGAAGCCAATAAAATGTTGCAGGAAAAAAAAAAAAAAAAAGGTTGGCACGTTTTATTTCAGCTTTGTTGGATGATCTGAGGTGGTTTCCGTGAAATGCTGATTTTACTAATTCCTATCTGTGAGAATTGTAACTGTGTATAATCTTTATTGTAACAGGATAAGCTGGATAAAGAAGCATCCATCCCTTTAAGTATATTAACCTAAGTATAAGTGAAGTGTATGTTCCTACTTGTTTCTTATACTCTAATAAAAAATATAAGGAATTAATAAAAAAAAAATACACTTGGAAGGAGATTTTTGGGTGGTTCTGCAGATATTCCAGATATTAACTCTTGTTTTGTGTGGAGGGAAAATGCCTGGATTGTATTCCAAGCTCAGGGCTGCGGGTTGTGGGCTGGATAAAAGGACAGACCGAATTCAGGGACTAAAGGAGGGTTAAATTCCTACATTTCATCTCAGGGCCATTGGAATCTCTTCCTGGGGATGGATAAAGAGCAGGGATTGTCTTGGCCTTCAATAGCCCATAAATATCCTTGACTTGCCCGTGACCCTGCTGGGAATGGAGATGGGATTTGGCCGTGGAGCCTGCACCCTTCCTTGTGGGAGAGGGCGGCTATTTTGGGCACAAAAAGGGCCCTGTGTGTGTGTCCGTGGGCAGCTGCTCCTCTTCCTGCACTCCCAGGGATCCAGCCCTGCTCCCGCCTCCGGACACACGGACGGACACACGGACACAGGGCCGGGTGCTCTGGAGATTCCCCCCCCCTCTTCCCCAACATTCATCTCTGCAAAGTTACATCGCTTTAATTTTTGTTTCAAGGTTTTATGGGCATCCCAGCTGGATCCCACGGGAGAAGGAAGGATTATATCCCCTGGGGAATGTAAGACAAATGCGGAATAACAGCGATGGGCTCAGGAGTTTCATCCTTTTTTCAGGATAATTCTGGGCTGCACTTCCATTTCCACTGCAATCCATATTTTGCAGCCTGATTTGCAAGTGGTTTTTGGGATGGGAGGGCTCCAGTGGTGACAGGGAATATTTTGGGGGCTGAGGGGACATTGCAGAGAAGAAACCTGCACGTCCCTCCTGCCTGGCATTCCCATTTCTCCTCCCACTGTCACTACATCCCAGCTCCTGCTGTTTCCCTGAGGATCTGCCTCTCCCTGCACAGGTCCAGGATGGGCTTTTCCATATTTCTCCTGTTTGGAAAGTTGAGGGAAATGGTGCCACATCTCAGTTTGCTCTTCAGATGTTCCTCACTGCCATCCCAAGGTTGTCCTGATCATCCCAGGATGGGAGACCCAAATGGGGCTGAGGTGGGAGAATTCCGGCCTTCCCACCACAGGAGCCTGGAATGGTTTTTGTTGGAAGGGACCTCGGAGAAAATTTCATTCCACTCCCTGCCATGGGCACGGACGCCTTCCACTATCCCAGGTTGCTCCAAGCCCCATCCAACCTGGCCTTGGACACTTCCAGGGATCCAGGAGCAACCACAGCTTCTCTGGGAAACCTGTGCTTCAACAGCCTCTCAGGGAAGAATTCCTTCCCAATATCCCATCCATCCCTGTCCCCTGGCAGTGG